CAAATTCTTGGGAGCTGCTTTTCACACCATTAGGGGGTCTATGAATAAATGCATGTCGGTGTCTGTGAAGCTGCAGTCGTGAAGTGTCCTGAAGTTCAGAATCTTTTTTTTTCTTCAATTTTTGCTGTCACCTTTTCTTCCCTTAAGGAAAGAGTTGGCCTCGCGTATCTAGAGCATTGAAATTACTTCAGGGTGGTGGGATAAGGTGGTGCCGGATTTAGGTCTAAGTTTATTTTGATCCTTTCCAGTTCGTCTTTCACCCGGGGTGCGAGGGCTGTCTTGCTTATCGACAGGAGAAATAATTGCCCTGCTTGTCACCCTAGACGAGGGGCTCCCCCAACGTGGAGCCCAGCAACCTCTTTTCTAGTGCCCACCGAGTGATTTCAGGAAGTGGGCGGGACCACGTAGGGCTTTTGTCCAGCAAGGCTTCTGATTGGCTATTAGGGTTGCCTAATGGCGCCGGGGGGTGGGAAATCCCCCGCTTTGACGGCCCGATTTTTGATGCAACGAAAATTGGGCCTGTGTCTGAAGCTAAGCTGTGGCAGCCGTTTTGTGGTTGGTTCTTCCTCCCGCGGCAACCATTTCATGGTAGTCGTTTTGTTGCTCTGCCCACCGTGCTGTGTCAGAATTCGAAATGTGCCTGCAGGCTCAAAAAGGCTGGGGACCCCTGTCCCAGATCAATATTAAAGAGGATGAATAAAATTAAGCTGATAAAGCTCTGAGCGGCCTCGCTCAAGTGTGTATCGGGAAGCACCTTTCTCGTACGAACCTGCCCAACTAATAAGGTTGACTTGAGGAAGTCCCAGAGTCCAGCTATTTGGTCATGACCTCTAGCAGCCTCCTGGGGTTTCAAGGCAAGACACTGCATAGGTGATTTGCCATTGCTTGCCTCTGCGTAGCAACCCTGGGCTTCCTTGGTGGCCTCCCATCCCAGGGCTGACCGGGGCCAAACCCGTCTTAGCTTCCAAGATCTGATGAGATTGAACTAGTCTGGGCCATCCCAGTCATGATGGTAATCTGATGCGTATTCTTACCTTAGCTTCCGAGATCTGATGAAATTGGGTAGTCTGGGCCATCCCGATCATGATGGTAATCTGATGCGTATTCTTATGTTTTTAATTCTAAATAGGGTTGGCCCTGGCTAGTATTTGGATGGGAAGCAATGGCAAGCCACCTCTGAACACCTCTTGCCTTGAAAACCCAACAGGGTCATCGTAAGTCAGCTGTGACTTGATGACAGTTTCCACCACACTCACACGCCAACACAACGCATTTGTATGGGGCTGCGGTGGCTCAGTGGTTAAGGCACTTAGCTGCAGACCGGAAGGTCAGTAGCTCAGCAGTTTGAGACCCTAGTGCAGTGGTGGCGAACCTATGGCACGGGTGCCAGAGGTGGCACTCAGAGCCCTCTCTGTGGGCACGAGTGCCATCGCCTCAGCCAGGCCCAGACCATCATTAAAGTGTCGAATTCTCTGCCAAATAATTTTAAGTAAACGAAAGCATTTGGGATTGCTTTCCTTACTTTGTTTGGATCATCTTATGTTAATGTATGAGTTGTTTTTTCTAAAGTAAACCCTCAGTATTCAGGTTAAATTGCCGTGTTGGCACTTTATGATAAATAAGTAGGTTTTGGGTCGCAGTTTGGGCACTCGGTCTCTAAAAGGTTCGCCATCACTGCCCTAGTGCCATGTGATGGACTGGCTTTCGAGCAAGGAAAACCTTTACCTTTACCTATATGTTTGTACTTGATGACACTTTCCACCACACTCACATAAGCACACTTGTACTTGATGACACTTTCCAATACATTCACACACACACACATACACACACATGTGTATATGTTTATATATTTGTACTTCATAGCTTTTTCAAATAGCACCATTATAGTGAACAGAGAGAAGAATATATATACATAGTCCCATTGGCAGGACTCATTGACAGTTACGGCTTATTGGGAGCTGCAGAAGTAGACCGCATCTTCAGGACCAATTAGTAATCTATATTTAGGGAGACTAACCTACTTTATATTAAGCATCCCAAACATTCATACTAGCTAATGTGCTGTGCCGATTCTTTCCAATGCAAACTAAGAGAGAGAATCCCAGAAAAATTACAACAAATGGGGATAAACCATGACAAACATACTAATCATCAGATTCCATAAATTCATTTTAAGTGTGTTATCATTTCATTTTGTATTTTTAGCAATTGTAACTCTACAAATCATACAGCATACATTAAAGCAATTCTCATAAGTAAAATTGAGTTACAGTCTTCATCCTTTACAAACATCCACGATCTTAGACAAAGTCCGCATGGACAATAATCCTCCAAATGGGGGAAATACTCTTAAAGGGAAGAAGATGGGCTCCGTACTTCATTCAGTTGGAAGAATGTTGGATCCCGCTAACACGAAAGCCGTCATAAAGCTGTGTTTCCCTTAAACTGAATTCATGATATTTCATGATTAGTAAATTTGTCACGGTTTACCCCCATTTGTGCTAATTCTTTCCAACAATTTCATTGTGTAGAAACTGTAGCCTGGAAAAGTCGCCTTGAGAAACATACAAGAAAGAGCCACAGCCTATGACTCTTTAAGCGGGGGCAGTGTAGTTGGCGTTGGCGGCAAAGCAAATGCTGGTATTGATTACCGAACTCAGTATTGTGGAGGAAGTGTGTGTGTAATAAGATAATTCCACGCGTTGCCATTATTGCTCACTGTCACCAGGCGGAAGCTCGGAGTCCTTGCCGTTCCTGCAGATGAGAAGTGGAAGGCAGTGTTTGAAGAATGCTGGCACCAGCTAGGCTGCGAGCATCCTGGCCAAGGGGACCGGTGGAAAGCGTGGGACAACATCGCGGTTGCCTTGACAACCAATCGGCGTCAACACAAAGACAGGTCAGTAGTGCAGGGTAGAAGAACTGCAAACAGCACACACATATACACACACACACACAGGGGTCATTTCGTAGAAAAAGAGGTGCAGGAGCTCACTAGCATAACTCATTAGCATAACTTATTTGCATATGCCGCACCCCCTGACATCACTGGAAGTATGTCAGAAGGCAACACCCACCGCTCAGGCTCCACTGGACTGTTTCGGATTGCTAGCTATTGGGGGGGGACATGCAGATCTGTCCTCGCAGAGGGGGGGGGGCTCTGCAGCCTACCTGGCTGCTTCTTGCTCTGACTGAGGGCCGGTGGGAGCAGGGGGTGGGGCCTGTTGCATGTGCCCGCCCCCTGGGCTCTTTACTGCCGGAGCTCCGCTCCTGTGAGCTCCTGCAAGAAATGAGCCCTGTATGTGTGTGTGTGTGTGTGTGTGTGTGTGTGTGTGTGTGTGTGTGTGTGTATATTTATTGCTGTCAAGTCACAGCTGACTTATACAGACCCCGTAAGGTTTTCAGGCCAAGAGACATTCAGAGGTGGTTCGGCAGTTGCCTGCCTCTGCGTAGCGACCCTGGACCTCTTTGGTCGTCTCCCGTCCAAATACTGACCAGGGTAGACCCTGCCTAGTTTCTGAGATCTGACGAGACTGAGCTAGCCTGCGCTATCCAGGTCAGGGCAATGATTTTGTAGCATCATGGAATTCATCTATTTTAACACAATAGGCTGCTTTGAGTTTCTTTGGGACGTGTGCTGGAATACATGCAGCTTCTTTTCATTTATATGAAGAGGTAGATGCATTTCTGAAATCCCACTTGTGCTTTCAGAAGCTTTTACTATCCTAAGATTGTATGAAATTAGTGGTGGAATACAGAGATACCAGCGTGAACCTGGACAGAAGAAATTAGCTCAAGGTTTCCCAGCCTGGTTACCTGGTGCCTCCGGCTGAGCTTTCCAGAAAGTAGGCGGGGCGTTTGTAAGGCAGGGCTTCTTATTGGCTGCCCTCACTCAAATGAAAAGGTTTTCCATGGGTTCAATAGCAGCTGCAGCCATTGGGGGATCAGGAGGACTGGGAAGTATCCAGCCTTGTGGTTCCATCCCCCCTTCAGACTCAGGCCTGTAGCTACAGTGGGGCATCTTGGGGCCAGGCTCCCCCCCCCCGACTTACCGCCCAGGCGTCCCAACTTCCCATCTAGCCAGTTTATTTTATTTTATTTTTCATGCGCGCCACGGCCTTGCCATGCTGAGCCATTGCCCTGCCCTGCCTGCTGGCACCCTTTTACTCTCTCGTTGCTCCTGACACAACCCGGGGGTATGTGCGGGGGTGCCCCCCCCGACTTATTTAAATGCCCCCCGGAGTCAAAAATCCTGTCTAGGGCCCTGTTCAGGCTTCTCTTTTTATTCCCCATTCTGTTTCTTCCTCACATTCCCTGGACTTCTCGTCATCCCTTTTTCTTCCCTTTCTGTGATTCTTTTGCAAAGTGAGGAAGGAGATACTGGCTCGGGCTCCGCCTCCCGTGGCAGCCGTTTTGGGGTGGTGCTCACCACTCCTCTCAAAATTCTAAAGGTGTCCCCGGCTCAAAAAGGTTGGAGACCCGTGGGTTATCTAGTGTGGCGTATTTTTGCCTCACCTGCTGATCAGGACTTTCTTTTAAGTGGTAGGAAAAGTAGAGAAGGGAGAATGGATGTAGCAAAGGGGGAAATGCATACGTGCAAGAGATGATAGTTAGCAGAGTAGAGCAAATAGGTAAAAAGAAGATACACTGCTTATCAGGACCTACATCAAAAATACAGAAAACGACGTTTGCACAAGTGGCTGCTCAATTCCTGATGTGTTAGAAACAGATAGCCACAAATTTACTTGCCTGCCCATTGTGACAGGAATCAGAGCACTGGTGTGTGTTCCATATACTGAAGTGAAGAGGGGATGCATCAGAGTCAGGGCCTTCTCGGTGGTGGTGCCTGCATTGTGGAACTCCTTCCCCACAGAGGCTCGCCTGACACCAAGTTTCTGTTTCTTTAGGCACCCAGTGAAGAAGTCTTATCCTCTGAAGCAATGCTCCCTCTAAGCGGTGGAGTCTTGGGAGCAAAAATTCTGCTTTGTGAGCTGCTGGCATTAAAGTTGTGAGCGAGCGATTTGGCTACTGCATAAATGAGTTTGCTCTGGAGCCATCCGTCCTGAGCTAAGAGAAAAATGTGTGAGCCGGAGGCTAAAAGACTGTGAGCTAGCTCACACTAACTCAGCTTAGAGGGAACACTGCTCCGAAGTGATTTAGACCACCAGAGTTGGTTTTTAAACATGTTCTGTTCTCTGTTACTTTCTTTTTCTTGGAAGACTTTTAATACTGGTTCTTTTTATTTGGATGTGTTTCATTACTGGGCAGCTCCTTCTTTAGGTTCTTTTAGACTTATTGGTGTGGATGTGTTAAGGAGTTTAATGTTGTAATTTTCAATATGTTGTAAGCGGCTTCGATTACCATTTTGTGGGGGGGGGAGAAGTATTTTTAAAAAATTTAAAAAATGTTTTCTGCACTTAATCTGTAATGCTGTGATTTTTTTAAAAAAAGCTAAAAATTGTTGCCAGAGGGAAGGAAGCACAATGGAAGCTGTACAACTATGACTATTTTATTCATTTGTACCCTGCCTTTCTCCACAATGGGGACTCAAAGCAGTTTACATAGTTCTTCTCTCCTTCATTTTATCCTCACAACAACCCTGGATGGTAAATTAGGCTGTGAGAGTGCGTCTGGCCCAAGGTCACCCAGCTAGCTTCTATGGCATGAGTGGGGATTCGAACCTGGATCTCCCAGATGCTAGTCTGACACTCTTAACCGCTACCCTGCGCTGAAGAAGAAGAAGAGATTGGATTTATACTCTGCCCTTCGCTCGGGAGTCTCAGAGCGGCTTGAGGAGGAGGAGATTGGATTTATACTCTGCCCTTCGCTCGGGAGTCTCAGAGCGGCTTACGTTCTCCTTCCCTTCTCCTCCCCACAACAGATACCCTGTGAGGTTGGTGGGGCTGAGAGAGCTCTTTCGAGGACTGCTCTTGAGAGAGCAGCTATGAGAGAACTGTGGCTTGCCTGAGGTCACCTAGCTGTCTTCATGTGGAGAGAAAGTGGGGAATCAAACCCGGTTCTCCCATATTAGAGTCCGCATTCTTAGCCACTACACCAAACTGGCCCTCTAGATGACCAAGAAACAATATGTTTAGGGTTAAGAATTAAATCAATTCCACAGGTACTTTTTTGTTTGTTTTCCGAAGTCATGCAGTTACATTCCATACTCTTTTAAAGTTTTCATTTTATTTTGCTTTTTGGAAAACTTTTCTAGATGCTCACTCCATGTCCATTTGTCCTTTCTGTCATTACAGTCCAGAACTTCTGAGTCGATCGCACGCTCAAACACTGGAAAGTCTGGAATTCATCCCGCAGCATGTTGGTGCCTTCACCCTGGAGAAATATGAGAACATTAAGAAGTATCTGATAAAGGTATCTTGACCATGAATGAGTACTGCAGGTTTATTTGTTGTGTAAGCATTCACGTTTTGCCCTGTTCACAGACTGAACTGATCTCGCAATTGGTATCAGAGTACAATAAATAGTGGCTGTCTTCCATTAGGTTATTGAATTCTTCACCAGTATCTTCTTCTGAACCATACTTGTCAAACTGACATGTGGGCCATGTAGAAGAAGTATGCAAGTTCTTTTCTAGGAGAATTAATAAAAACCTGAAAACCTTTCCAGTGTAGTTCCCTATATTCATACTAAAATCCTTCAACCTGTGCACATTAGGTAGTACTGATAGGTTTGTAAGAGCACCGTATCCAGTTCCTTTCCCTGCTTGCTACAAATTCTTAAAGATTACAAGAATTTTTTATACCAAGAACTTTAATATAGGTAATGCGTAGTTAATATAGGCCGTTGATGAAGGTAATAGGATTGCACTGTACAAAACAGTTCTCAAACTTACTTGGATAAAAGATTGAGAATGTGGTCCCTACCCTATTCTTGTGTATAGTTTATTGCAAGTGGCATCCTATTATGTAATTTTTATACTGCTTAATGTGTCGCATTAGTACTTATTCTACGCTTCAGTTCTTTCTGGTGGTTCCAGATTTCTAAAATCCTAATGCATTTATAGGGCCACGGTGGCTCAGAAGTTAAGACACTGAGCTGCAGACCGGAAGGTCTGCAGTTCAGCAGTTCAAGACCCGAGTGCCGCATGACGGAGTGAGCTTCCGTCTCTGGCCCCAGCTCCTGCCAGCCTAGCAGTTCGAAAGCAAGAAACTGCACTTTGGTGGGAAGGTAACAGCGTTCCGTGCGCCTCAGCGTTTAGTCATGCCGGCCACATAACCACGGAGAAGTCTTTGGACAGCGCTGGCTCTTCGGCTTGGAAACAGAGATGAGCACCACCCCCTAGAGTCGGATTCAACTAGCTCTCGAGCAAGGGAAACATTTACCTTTAAAGCATTTATCCCATTTTGTGGATTGTACTGACTCGCTCTGTGTTATCCACCATGAGTCCCTGTGGGAAAAGCGGACTGTAAATAACACAAATGATTTTTAAAAAGAAAATTAAATACGATAAATAATTTAGAACAGCCGGCTCCGATTTATGTGACATGCGTATGGGATGTATCTGGCCAATTTCATAACTTTTGAATGTACAGTATTTAAGAATCTTAAACGTGCCGTTTGCAATTGCAGCCTCTCTCCTCTGTGTGGCTGTCGGGTCTTTAATATTCCTCATCTCTTTTCAGGCATGTGATACCCCTTTACATCCTTTGGGGAAACTTGTGGAGACCCTAGTGGCTGTATACCGAATGACCTACGTAGGGGTCGGAGCCAACCGGCGGCTGTTACAGGAAGCAGTCAGGGAAATAAAATCCTACCTCAAACGCATATTTCAGCTGATCAGGTAAGGAGCGACGTCGGGGGAGACTAGAAGGCCGCCATTTTCAATTTGCTGTGGTCTCCCCCTTGCAGTGAATTACATACTGTGGGAACGGGATGGGGGGGTCACAACCATTCTCATGACTGTGAGATTCTGGACGTTTGGTTGCCATTCTGTATGTTTTGGTTTCAAGATTCCTCTTCCCTGACCTCCCTGAAGAGGGCAGCACGATTCCGCCTTTGGTAACCGAGACCAAGGGGAGGCGATCCTTCTGCAGTGGAAAAAGCGACTCAAGGCCAGAGTCTCCAGAACCGGGGTCTGTAGAATTTTTTTTAAAGAATCTTTTTGTTAATTCAGACACAGGGCTCGTTTGGGTCCCGATTTTAGTGAGTTGTTTTGGAGCCAGAGTTTGACGAGACAGATCTGGGAAAGAAAACTGGGTCATTGTTTCTCCCGCAGGCATCCTCTCCCACCACACCCCACCCCACCTCCCGTGTGCTTCAGTTAGGTACATGAGAGAATAAGCCAAGTGACGGGACTGTGCATCTTTGATCTGGATTCTCTAGTACCGGATGCAAATCAGGGAGGAAGCTGTTGTACATTAGTGGCGTTTGCTTATGGAGCCGATCTTGCCAAGATCTTTTGGCTGTGTTCAAAACCGAAAATTTTATTTATTCATTTTAAATGCTTATAACTGGCCTTTGTCACGGAATCCAGGTCTTGCATGCGAGTTTAGCTCAGCCGGGTCTTAATTTCGCCTCCAGCTTGGTTCTTGTTAAACATATTCAGACTCTTTAAAAAGAAGCATGTAGGTCAGGGAATAAATTGGTGTGCTTATTTGTTTGTTTTAAAAATCCAGACTACCTTTCTCTGCAGCTGTGTTTTCTTTGTTTGAATCCACCACTGTGGATTCAAGGGAGTTCGGATGGGACAGCCTGAGATTCTAAAAGCAGCTCTTTTCCACAGCATCTAGGCCACCACCAAGAAGGCCCTGGAAAGGGTGGCCACTGACTGGTGTTGGCACACAGAGGGAGACAGATGGTCCTTGAGATACGTGGCCCCCAGGCAATGCTAAACATTAGAGGTTTCATATCCCTGCTCTGCTACAAACTCAGTCAACTTGGACAAATCAGACTCTAGCCCATATTTCCACACAGTTGCAGTGTCCATTCTGTTTAAATCACAAACAAAATATGGTTGCTGTATTGAAACTGCATCTCCATACATTATATTTTATTTTACTGGAAAATTGTCAATTTGCATTTTTAAAAACCCCTCAAACTTGATTGGAAGGTCCTTGAAAATTGGCAGGCACTAGCCAACGAGCCTTCCTTGCCTACCAGATGAGTTATTGCAAAGTCAGCAGTGACCAGAGATAAATATGAGTTTATTGAAATGATCCTTTTCCTCACAGTCTTAGATGATGTGGTGCCATGGAATGCTCATGAACATTCAGACTGTTCAGGAATAAGTGCATCGTTTCATTGACATAAGAGTATTTTGCTCTTGGTGGGGTGAAGTGCAGAAGACAGGGGGACTTCTGATGTCCTCCATTTTCTCACATGTGTTCTCTGCCTCACCGGTTTGTGCGTGCGCTGTTGATAGGAACGAGCAAATATGTCTGAGCTGGCAATCTTCCTGTGATTTTTCACAGGCTTCTGTTACATTCAGTGTAAATTCTAAAGCATTTCTTATTCCCTTTTCTCTTCCTAAGCTATGTGGTCACCAGCTCTGGGTTGCTGCTTCCTGTGTTGTTACCTCGGCTCTACCCTCCACTGTTTATGCTGTACGCCTTGGACAATGAACGAGAAGAAGATGTATATTGGGAATGTGTTCTGCGTCTAAACAAACAGCCCGACGTGGCTCTGTTGAGCTTTCTGGGAGTACAGATGTAAGTGTTCCTTGAGATGTCACTGAAAATATTGATTCTGACACTTGAAGCAAGATGTTGTATTTCCATTCTTCTCTTGGACTCTCTAATAGTAGTCGTTTTGTGCTCCTCATTGTGTTGAGACCAATTGTGGCGTCTCAGCTTTGAGACCAATAGCTTTCTGGAATTATTTGGGCACACAACTGACATTTCCTTGCCTCAAAAGTTTCTTGGAGAGCCAGTTTGGTGTAGTGGTTAAGAGCACGGACTTTAATCTGGGAGAACCAGGTTTGATTCCCCACTCTGCCACATGCAGCTGCTGGTGTGACCTTGGGTCAGTCACTGTTCTCTCAAGGGCAGTTCTCTAGAGAGCTCTCTCAGCCCCACCTACCTCACAGGGTGTCTGTTTTGGGGAGGGGAAAGGAAAGGAGATTGTAAGCCACTCTGAGACGCCAAGGTGGGGTATAAATCCAATCTCCTTCTCCTCCTCCTCTGATTAGACCCCAGAGAAATATAACTGGGTCTTGCCTGAAGCAAGGACAGAAGGTTGTTTGTTTTGCTTTGAATGATCCAAAGATATGAGAATGTTCTGTGCTTTGCGCTTAGAACCATTAATCCATTTTATCTGTTAAGGATGTCTGGTAGAAGACAAAGTGGTGCTTATGATCTCCCACAGGCACTTCTATGCCATTCATTTTCCTTGAGACTGGGAAGCTGGGTGGTATGACAGTAGAAGTCTGTATGGAATTTTTGGAGAGCTCAGGTTCGTCTTGGGTATAAAGTCAGCCTGGCGTTTGAGACTGAGAAGTGGCTGCTGTAGAATCCAAGGCACCTGCAGTGGCTGGGGATGGTTCTGGGGATCAGAGGTTGGGCCAGGAGCATCCTTCTATCCAGGCCTGGAGCCAGGATTTTGTGGCTTGTGGGACAATTTTTCTTCTTCTGGTGGGGCTGAAGCTCTCAGTGCAGAAAGAAAAGCCATTTAGCCAACAGAAAGCTGTTACCAGGATAGATCTCTAAATTGCAAGCTGTCAACCACTTTAGATGACAGTTCTCAACTGCTGCAAGTTAATCACTTCCGCCAGCCTAAGCAACCATTCTGATAACAAGCCGGCAGGTGGGGGTAATGACTCCTGTAGTCCAGAAAGCTAACACTTAGGCAGAAAAACTCTCTTCAAGGAGACCAGTTTCTTGACACGGAGTTAGAAGGGATCCTGGAGGTCACCTACTCCAACCCCCTCGCTCAGTGCGGGGATTAGTCAACTCTGCTTTAAGGAGCACACGCCTTTGAAAAAAAGGTTTTTAAATGATTGAAAAAAGCATTTACAGGAGAAATTCTTGTGGGGCTGTGCCTTTAAGAAAGGGGGCCGAGCCCCCCAAAAGACCCACTGTAGTTACGGGCCTGCTTGTATCCTGGAAATACCTCCGCTACTTTGAGGCACTCTGAGCCAAGTCTCGGTCTCATAAGCTGGCTCACTTCCTTGCACAAACGTGGCCCTTCAGAAGCGAGTATATATATTTTTTCATTATAGATGGTGGGTAGGGAGAAAAAGCTCTTTCTTCTGGGACAGAAACAGAACAAATCTGCCATTAAACTCTACTTATGGTGTTTTCTTTTAGGAAATTTTGGCCAACAACTGTGCCCGTCCTTGGTGAAAATAAAAAGGTATGTTACATTTCATTTACAGGTTTCTTACCTGAGTGTTACCTTTGTACAGTAACCCTTTGAACTGAATTGAGACTGGGCAGGCATCGGTATAAATTCATTTGTTGTTCTTTTGTTGTCAGTAGTGCATGAGATATTTCTTTAATGGTATGTCAATCGTTTTTTACATTATACAGTTCTTCCAGTGAGACTTAGTTCATTATTTCCAGATTCATGGCTCCAAAAACATGTAATATTTATAATTCTCTCCTCTTTTTAAATCTTATTTCTGTAATTGTTAAATGATCCTTAGATTTCGGTGCGCGACCTAATCATACAATCTGGAAAATGGTTCGTTTTGGTGAAGGAGGTGCTCTCTGTGTGCATGCATGTGTATTTGCTGTTTCACTTTAAACGTTAATATTCGGAGTATTGATTGTCCTGGTGTTTGGAGGCTGGAAAGTACAGGTATGCCGTGGGGGCCCCATCTCCACGCCAGATCCGGTCCATGGCATTATCACTGAGAAAGGCGAGGAAAGAAGGCTCGGCCGCACAATGAAAATACGACATCTGTAAATTGGGTGCCTTTTGCCTGCAGACCCCAATGACATCCTCAGTTTGCCAGAGGCCAGAATCATTTATTTATTTATTAAATTGGATTTACTAGGCCGCCCTTCCCTACAAGTAGGGCTCAGGGTGGCTTACAACAGAGTAATATACAATCTTCATATAAAAACTAAATTAAAACAGTCCAATAAATACCAGTGAGTAAAAACAGTATATATACAGTATATGAGATTATTTATTTATTTATTTATTTATTTATTAGATTTATACCCCACCCTCCCCAGCGGGCTCAGGGCGGCTACAACAGAGGCAATTGCCATAACAACAGTTAAAACAACATAAAAACAATAATTAAATAGTATAAAACAATCATTAAGTAAAGTGCAGTGCTCTTGATGTTAAATTTTTCTTAATCCAAGATGAGTTCCATTCATCAACCTAACCTGACAACAAGCATTCTTCGGTTAACTAGGCGTCTGCCCAGGGCCGGCTCACCTCCAGATCTAATCCACCGTCGAAGATGGCAACTCGGTGGTGGTACAGTGATGGCGGCGGCTCCTATGCAAAGGCCTGGCGGAAGAGCTCCGTCTTGCAAGCCCTGCGGAACTGCACCAGGTCCCGCAGGGCCCAAACCTGCTCTGGGAGCTCATTCCACCAGACAGGAGGGAAGGGGTTATGAGGGATGGGGAAGTATATATATATATATTTTATTTATTTATTTATTTATTACTTAGACTTTTTACCCTGCCCTCCCCGCCAAGGCAGGCTCAGGGCGGCTTACATAAGGAAACAATAAAAAAACAATAACATCAATATCAATATAAAATACAGGATAAAATTATTAAAAAATAAAATTCTACCCTGCCCAGAGCAGCTCCCATCCTCCTCCTCTCCTCCATTTTACCCTCACAACAGCCCTGTGAGGTAGGTGAGGCTGAGGGTGTGGGACTGCCTCAGAGTTAGGCAGCCTGACCCTCCGACCACTACACGACACTGCCTCCTTCCTGGCAGTGAGAAGAGAGAGAGAGGGAGAGACCTCGTTTCCCACAACACACCATTCCTACTCACTCAGCCCTGAGGATTTTTCAAAGTCTTGCCAACCCCTCGTTGCCGTACACCGAATGTGTTTTTGATCTCAGTGCACAGGTAACATTCTCGTCAAGCATCCGCCATTCCTCCTCTGGGCAAAACGCAAGACCGGTTGCCTGCTCTCACAAAGTGCCCACGGGGGCCAAGGCAAGTCTGATGCCACCTACTGAAAGGCAGGGAAAGAGCAAGTCCAACTCTGGGATTAAGAGTGCCAAAGAGTGCCCTGGCCTGGCGGAACATCTCTACCTTGCAGAAAGATAAAGGCTCCCACAGGGCACGGATGTCTTCCGGCAGAGCTTTCCGCCAAGCAGGACAGTCAGACTTCTCTCAGGCCGGGGACCACCAGCACGTTCTCGTTTCCTGAGCGTGATGCTCTTCCAGGGGCATACTGGGACACGTGTGGTGTCGTCCAGCCACACACACAAACACACACACAAACACACACACAAGCTACTCAGTTTCTGGATGATGCCCAAGCCCTTCTCCCTGCCGTGCCAGTTTGCCATTCGGTAACCTGTACCCAGAGGCTCTGGACACCCACGCACACTTTAGGCTGCAGCTGCCTAGTGCAGTAGGCAGTGATCTCAGCCAGCGGAGCAGAAGTGGCAGAAGTATTTCTGACACTGTGACCTTGTGTCACAGTACGGTGCAGCGGAATGTGTGTAAGCGGCTCGCTGCAAGTAGTACCTGGTGGTGGAAAGTGCCGTCGAGCCGCAGCCGACTTAACAGCAGCCCTGTAGGGTTTTCGAGGCAAGAGGTGTATCGTTCCTGGACCTCCTTGGAGGTCTCCCATCCAAGCACTAACCAGGGCTGATCCTGCTTAGCTTCCAAGATCTGACAAGATTGGCCTAGCTGGGCTATCCAGGTCAGGACAAGGAGTTCATACCCAGTCCCTCGTACGTCACAGCTTCCTTCTCATTGAACAGTCACCAAAAAAGTATGATAGTCATTTAAAAATGTTGATGGTCTCCGGGCTGTTTCATGTAGATAATGATCCATTTTTAACCTTCTCTACTGTTCTTAGATATTCTTTGACAGTTGGGTTAAATCAAAATCAAAGCCAGGACACACAGTGTTTAAAATTGCTTTCTCTGCTTTTAATTTATTTGATTTACTCGTTGGCAAAACTGTAGTGTCTATGACTTCTCTGGGCATATTGAAAATACAGCTTGCCATTCAATAAATGAAAGTATCACTTGTAATTAGGAGAAGCTATCTGTTAAAAAAAAAACCCTTCTAAAAATGTACCAAAACAGAATAGTTTTAAAAGATAAATGTGCCCTCAACTCGTGATCCCGCCGATTGCCAAATTAAATTTTAAAGCTTGCAGTTCTAATCAAAACCAATTGAAATTCCCACCTTTTGGCCTCTCCGGGGTATTCTGAAAAAATTGGGATTGATTCAGAAGTCGTCCAATCGTGGTATATAGAGACGGAGATTCCTGGTGATCTTAATCCAGTTTTTCTGAAATCGGCGTGGTTCAGCCTACTTTTATAGCTAATCTGGCAGTAACCTTAGATGCTCTTCCTTGCTTTTAGGTATTGCCAAATACAAAAGATGCCTGTTTTGCTTCAGCCGTGGAGTGCTTACAACAGATAAGGTAATCTCAGAGTTGGACTTGTTCTTCCCCTGCCTTTCAGTAGGCCTGTCAGTAGGACTACCTCGGCCTGCTGATAACTGAGAACTGTCGTGTTAAATAGTACTCGTACAACATGGTCAAGAAGTTGCTTTGAATTTTGCTCTTCAGTGTCTCACTTATTTGAACAAATATAAAAAACTGCAGATCTCTCCAATGTGCCAAGACGTGTGAGGTTAAATAAGGCGGGGGGAGGCTTGGTGCAAAACGGCCCATAGTTCTGAAACAAAGCCTAGTAAAGAAAAATGTATTAGTTGAAAGAAATAGGCCAGTGGTCACCAGTTCTTCTGCAGCTATACTGAGCTTCCAGGCTCAGTTCAAGGTGCTGGTCTTGAACATCAATTCCCTAAATAGCTTGGCCCTGGCCTGTAGCTACAGTGTGGCTATTGAGGGCTCAGCCCCCTTCCTTAGAGGGTGCCCTGCTTCTTAAAGCCCCCTCCCCACTTCTTCCCAAAAGCATTTAA